AAGCGAGGATGGAGAAAGGAAGAAAAGCTTTCACTACTATCAAGTCTGTGTGGAGGTCAACAGACAGCACTCAGCATGAAAATGAAATTAAGATCCGGATTTTCAACTCCAATGTGAGGTCAGCCAGTGCTACTATACGGATCAGAGACTTGCACTGCGCGTCATAAACAGCATCTCAAACAAACTACAGACCTTCATTAACAGCTGTCTTCGCTCAGCACCACTCAAGATCAGATGGCCGGCCAGAAAAGACCAGCGACAGAGATCTCTGGCAATGAGCGAACCAACCAGGAACCGATTGTGAAACAAATAGGCAGGAAGAAATGGAGATGGATTGGCTGGCCATACTCTGAGAAAACAAACCATCAAGTGACATCACTAGACAAGCCATTGCTCGAGTGGAACCCGAAAGGGAAGCGGCGAGTTGGTCGTCAGTGCAAGGGTGACTTGGAGGAGGTCATGTGAAGAGGAGATGAAAACGTGTGGGCAAACTTGGAGCGAGGTGAAGACTCTAGCAGAGAACCGAACGTAATGGAGACGCACGGCTGAAGCCCTATGTTCCTGTAGGAATTAAAGGAAACAATAATAATAAAAATATGCAAACCACACAAAAGGGACTTCTTGCATCTTGGCATGAAATCTCGACATAGATGCTACTGTCAGGATAATATACATGGTTTAAGGAGCATGTTAAAAGATACGAACCTGGACCTATTTACTGAACAAGTTTTAAATGACCCATAAATGTTGTCTTAAGTTCTGTCTTGATGTTTGTTGCCTAAGAGGGACGCTCTTCAGAAGAAGTAACCGTACGCTTGACAACACCCTAACTGTGAACTTTTAATGACGCTAAACAACATGCTTGTGCGTCGGTGGCATAGCGGTTGGGACGCTCGCCGACCATGCACATGGCCCGGGGTTCGATCCCCGGCTGACGCACTCCTTTACCTCGCTAAGCCAGTAATAGAACGGGAAAAGAAGGAAGGTTGGGAATGAGGCTGGCAACCCTATCCTGTAAAAATAAACACTGCTTCAGAAACTTCAAGCCTGTAGCTTGAAGCCCTATGTTCCACTGGGGAACGTGAAGGAAAAAAAAACAATTTGCTTATGAATATGGTAGGTGTACTTTAGATGCCACCGTTGTCCTAAGTCATAATATTGTCTCTAGTTTAGATAGAAGTGCCAAATATGTTCAGCGTGCCTTCAACGATTACACATCTGCTTTTCACCCTGAACATAAGCATCTTTTCTTAAACAGGCAGCATACAGGACTAATAAATGGTTGCACGCCTACTTTCCTTATGGGAAGAGGTACACTGCACATAATGAGAAATCCTCCACTACTTTACTTAATCTAGCAAGTGTTCCTCAAGGTGCTGTTCTTTCTCCTTGTCTACATGGAAAGACATTAAAATTGTCCCTGTCCCTAAACCTGGAAACAGCAAGAACGTAAAGTTCAGACCCATTGCCACCACTTCCCCGTTTCTAAAGCTTATGGAAAAACCAGTACTTCTCAAACTTGAACTCTCCCTTAAAAACTTTGAAGACCGCAAACAATTTGCCTACAGACAGGGTAGGAGCACTTTAGACGCTGCAGCTGTCTTACACAACAAAATCGTCTCATCATTAGATAAATGTGCCAAATACGTCCGCTACACGTTTCTCGGCTTCACTTCTGCTCCTGACTCTGTACCTAGATGTCTCTTGCTAAATAAGCTCTCTATGACAAAAACTGAGTCCTGGGTCAGTAATTGGCTGCATTCCTACTTTTTTTTTTTTTTTGATTTACAGCTTGATTGCCACACCGTATTTTCAGTACAAGTGTGGAACTTTCAGCATGGATATCGGTTGCCCAAATTCAGGCATACCATAGATATCGGGTGTGCGCCGGCAGGGGTTCGAACCCCGGACCATGTGCATGGTCGGCGAGAGTCCTAACCACTGTGCCACCGACGCACATAACATAAAGCAGTACACCGTATACAAAGGTAAATCCTCCTCTGCTGTGCTCACTGGAGCTGGTGTCCCCCAAGGTGCTGTACTCTCCCCACTTCTCTTTTCTTTCTTTCTACATGACTTACCATTTGATTTTTATTGAAATATCTAGTCAATTCCATACATATATATAAATGAAGGAAAAAGTTGTGTGAGTAACTTGATATGATTATGAGCAATAATTTGTTCTCGAAACGTCATCAGTTAATATTACTGTGTAACACTGTGTGGTTTATGAAAATAAAATCTTATCCATAATGGGGTCTCACCTTAAGCCCCTCCAAATGCCAGACAGTCAATTTCACCTTTAGGCATAAATCCGACCTAAAGAAACTGGTTGCCTCTCACGAGGTGTGCAACATAGATGGCACTGAAATAGAAACCAAGTCGGAAGTTAAATACCTAGGCGTCATTCTATCTGCTGATCTTTCCTGGTCGTCTCATATCTTGGCGATTTCTAGGAAAATATTCCGTCTTACCTTCTACATCAAGAAGTTAAAATATTCTGGTATAACCCAACCGTTACTACTACAATTCGTTAACTCTCTCATGCTACCTATTATTCTCTATTGTTCCCCCTTAGTTTTTCCCGGGCTACTGAAGAAAGACTATAACATATTACGCAGGATGTTAAATGTTGTCAGCAGGGTAAGCAACGTGCCACTTAACCAGCTTATTAATATTCTGGTCAACAGGCACATGGACTCATGTGAAAAATGGGCCAAATCCACTTTATCTAACTCACACCACCCTCTTCACTCACAACTCTCCCCTTGCATCTTATCAGGCGAAACCAGAAGCCTATATAGAAAACTATATGCTCGCACCAGCAAGTACGAAAACTCAACCATACCCTACTTAGCTCGTGTTCTGTGCGATAACGAAAGCATTAGGCGTGACACCTATAATTCATTAAATAGTCAGTAGTACAACTGGACCTCGTCTTTCCAACTCATATCATTTATAGGTACAACATGTTCTCTCTTTGTTTTCCTATTGTCTCTGTCACTCTTTTTTCCGTTTTGTGCTGCTTTGTTTCTTTCTCTCGCTTACGCCGGTAAATATGACAGCACCTACTTTTCTAACACCTTCAAACACTGTTCAACTTTGGCTTTGCTACCAACATGCCAATATGTTGTTGTCACGATGAACTGAGATCTCCTTAATCTATGTAGAATTCTATTTATTGATAATGTACTAACTGGATGCAATACTGTAGTAAAAATGCTGAGAATTCCATTCTGTATCACAAGTACTGTTTTAGAATAAAGCAAATTATTATTATTATTTTGGTTTTTACATGACTCGCCTCATTCTTATGATGAAAATTTTGTTAGCCTTGAGGATGATCAAACTGTTTCCATAGCGGTTACTTCTCAATCAGATTGTTCTAAAATGAATAACTTTTTACCCTTGTCAAGTGGCTTTAATCTAAATCCCTCCAAATGTCAAAATGTTAATTCCACTTTCCGACACAGGCACGATGTACATGAATTGACTCGTTCTCATGCTTGTAGTATCATACATGGCACTGAAGTTGGAAATGAATACAAAGTTATATACCTTGGATTATATGCTTCCTGGTCATCCCACATTATGTTAGTTTCTAGAAAGATGTTCCATCTTATGTTTCTACGTAAATAAGTTAAGACAGTCTGATATCACTAAGTCTCTTTTACAGTTTGTCAGTTCTTGTATCCTACTTATTCTTCTTTATTCCTTCCTCTATCATCACACTGCGAAGCTGTTAGTAATACTGTTATAGACCGATACTTGAACTCGTTCAAGAAATCAGAGGATATCATTTTGTCGGACTCTGAGCATCCTCTCTACACACAACTCTCTCTCTTTGCATTTCCTCAGATAGGACTAGAAGCAACTGTAAGAGACTTTATGGTCTGACAACAAAGTATAAAAACCCTACGGTACCGTGTCTAACACACATTTTATGTGATGAGAAAGGTGTAGCTAGCTTACTGCATAACACCAAGTAAACGACCGTTTTTTATTCTTCCGTTAATATTTCCACTTAAATTTTAATCGTATACTCATGTTCTTGTTGAACAATATTATCAACAAAAACACTCCATCCTTTATTTTCCCTTGTACTTTGTGATGTAAAGGGAAAACTAAATGCAATATTGTATTACATGCTGAAAATTCCACACTGTTTGCAACAAAGCCGTTATTATTATTTTTACTTAAGGCTAAGCCAATGAAAGATAGTGAAGCAAACCTCGTTACCGAAGAGCAGAGAAAGTAGGAACGTTGGGCTGGTCACTTCAAATTTCTCTTAAATCAATTACCACCTAGAACTTGTCCATCAACAGCTGCAGAAATGCCAGTGAACACCAATCCTGCGACAAAAGCAGAAGTCCTAAATGCCATAAATTTACTGGAAGTCGGCCAGAAAGACAGCAGGATCAGACGCTCTTCGCTTATAAATATTGCGAACAGACGCAAAGATCGCAGAGGACGTAATCACGTCACTACCGCAATAAATATGAAACGGACTTACAGACTAGAAGACAGGTTGACTTGTCAAACTGCCAGAGGACAACTCAAGCCTTTCCAAAAGCTGGAGCGGAGTTGGCAAGCAAAATATTAGACAGCAAAACTTGGAAGGACTAAATCATGGACTGGATGGAATACTTCACCCGAAACAGACTAGATTCAGGAAGCACAAATCATGAAGAGACCTAGTCGCAACATTACGCGCGTCATAATCAATCAGAGCAGAGAAGGGCAGTCAACTCCTTACTTCAATTTCACCTGCACCGGATTGGGTTAGGCCACGGATAGTGAGGAATGAGAGGACGGGAATATGCTTGACCGACAAAACAAAAAAACCAGATCTAAATTTTGTCGGTGACTTCTGTTGGCTAGCACTCCGCAATTTGACAACCGATGCTGCCGTATTTATATACTGCACCGAATTAACACTTAACCCACCCATAAAATATATTTTAAGGAAAAGACAAATCAAGTCACTTTATATATATATATATATATATATATATAGCACTGGGAGCTCTTTGTCTCTTTGAAAAATGTCACCACAGATATATAATATAACATAATAAAGCATAAAAGAGATATTCAAATTGTGAATAAAAAGAAATCTCACCCTATAATACTATACTGCCACAAACTACCAATAAATGTTACTAAATAAACACATGCACTGCAGAGAAAAATCACCAACCAACTGTTTTTGACTTTACCGGCCAAAATAAATAACCAACCCATAGAAAGATAGAAATTGTGAAAGATAAACAAAGAGGAGAATCACTACGGGTTTAGATATATGCACATATCACAATCATAATCAGCGCCGGCGTCGATAATATCGTCATACCGACAGGGAGAGAAAAATTTAAGCATACCAAAAAAACGACAAAACTTGATCGATCGATCACTTGAAGAAGTCAATCGAATTATACAAACTTTAAAAAAAGGGAGGGATTAGTTTTCTTTTTAAGTGTGAGATTTAGCAGAAATGATAGTAAATAAAATTTTCAAAAAGAGATGTAAAGTAGTATAAACAAAAGCAAGAAGAAAGTCATTCACCTGGTTAGTGTAGAGAGTGTGTCGATAGGAAAATCAACACACACACACACACATACAATTTTAATACGACCACCTTTGTGCACCACAGTAATATAGAAAAGAAGACAAGAACGAGAAGTAAGCACTCAATGACAATTTGGCAATTTAGGAATTCTTTCTACTTCGATTGCATCCGGCAGCAGTGAATTTTGAATCACGTCGCATGACTGACTGATCAGATGATGTTGGCGATACAGTCGACCAATTATCAACTGACCCCCAATCTTGATCATTGCTTAAATCCCAGCCACAATTTTCACTAGAAGTCCATTTTGCATCCGAAAAGAAGGCTTCTAAATGATAATGAGAAAGTTCAGACTATTAGAAAGCTACAACAACAACAAAAATTAATAAATTTAACACTGTTCAACAACCAGAATAAAAAAAGATTCAGGATGACGAAGTCGATTAAGCATGTCGATAATATCATATATCAAAATACATACAATAAAAGTCTTCATTTATCGACGTTCTCTTGAACAACACAGAAGAATTGATAGCTAAACAACTAGGGTACTTCAATAATCATCTTGAGTAAGAAGGCATTAAGACAGACCGTACAACAACATCATATACTATTGACTTATCACATACAAATGTGGAATTTGCAAACAACAACCAGTTACACGGGTCAAAGTTTATTCAGAATGAGGAGATTTGAACTCCGCATGTTCTAGATAGAAGTCAGTTGACCACAGCCTCCATCGATATACAACACACGAGGCCAACAACAATAACAAGCATAATTCGAATCTCAAGGGCCTGTTTCAAGGACACAGACACTAAATGCCAGAAAGTTGTTATGACGTTAACCTAAACAACCATTAAGTGGTTAACAGAAGTTAGTAGTGTTACTATTACAATCTACTACTGAAAATCCTACACCTTGTCAACTACAAAAAATATACAGTTCAACGCCTAGAAAGAAGCGGTACAATAACAATACAAACTGAAACACAAAGGCTTGGGACAAGCTAACCACGTCTGAATAGTGCTTTGTACATGTGTTTATCTGGGGACTCTGTGGCATCGGCATGTGATTTCTAACTAGTGTCGGTGTCGTAGTTAAACCTAAAGCCGACGTTACATTGCTCGATTGCACCCATATTAACAGTCGCTTATGTACTGGCTAGCTGATAACCACACAATATACAACACTGGCTAAACTTACAAGACTCCATGAAAATGGCTATCAAGAAAGCTTGAGACCTAGAAAGACGTGCCACCAGAAATCAGTGAGCTTCTGCAAGTTTCTGGCAACTTCATGCCCGTGAGTACATTGTAATAAATAGCGAGTATGATAAAAAATGCTTAGGAATTTTAAGCCTACTTTAGGAAGTGCAGTGGTTACCACTTTAACTTCGCCGTCGATTATATTCTAAAGACAGTTCTGAAGGATGCGTGTGGTGGTGGTGCAGGTCAGCTGTCTGAAGAAAGACCTACTGACCTTGGGTATGCGGATGATATCGTCTTCATTGGAGTGGAATTCAACCATTGAGGACCAGTATCAGTAAGTATAGCATGCTTTGCTTCTTACAAGTATAAAGCAATTTTGCAGGATAGACAGGAATCTGTACATGCGCTCACGCTTACGCATGAACCGTTAAAATTAAACGAAAAGGTCGTGGATCTAAGTAGTCGTATGTGTACCAGAGGTGCGACGAATGAAATTTCCAGTAGAACAACAGAAGTTATAATGACATACCAACCTTGATCATCTCTGGCACCACCACGATATTAGTCTGGATATTAAATATGGGTTTTGCTCAAAGACTGCGAAAATTGGCTTACATGAAATGAGAATGTGAAGCGACTACAGTTATCCGCTGTCTCAGTAGAACTGCTTGCATATAATAGCGTCACCGTGTTAGATACTGTTTATTTGAATAAGGCGGAGACAGCCTTTCAATGAGCGGTATCACCTTAAAACTCCAGTGGCTTGCATAAGAACCACTGTTTACTAGCCATTGAACCACCTCAAAAAAAAACGCAGACGTGGTCAATCTGTAACATGACACGTAATGATGAAAAAGGACAGTTAGCTGTGCTAGGTTCGTAGCAGTCGGGTGAAGTTCAAGAGACCATACAACTTCATACCTCGATACTTTGTCGGAAACAGTTTAGAATCAAAATAAGTGTATTCTTTATTTCTCCTCTACTACCGAAAGTGATGAATTTCACACACGAATTCCCCTTTATAAATACGAACAGATACGGAATAAATATTCGTGCTGAATAATATAAATCCATTTTATTTTGTCGATTCTCATCAGCTACGTACAACTTGTTATATTCAGTAAAACCACTTATAAGACAATTTTAACACGCATTTTGTTTATCGTCATGGATCACTGACTAAGTAAGTAAAAAAACAGTCACAGTGAAACAAAACAAGGATGATACGGTTATCTCAGATTATCACTTCGTATTATTCAGTCTGCGCCAAACAAAGGACTAGACGTATGACATTAGTTACTAACTTGTGTCCAGTCAAAGTGTCCAATACAGCCTCTGACTGCAGCACCGGGTGAAACGGGTTCGAACCTCAGGAGGCAAATGAATTCCTTCAAGAGTGCAGATATGCCATGATGAAGAGTGCCAACAAGCACGAAACCTAGGTCCAAGGTTTCCCGCCAATTGTAAAGAGAGACGTTTCTCGTAGGAATGGACAACTTTTGTTGTTCATCACATCGCCATCTTTTAATTCGACTTCTCAGAAACCAAATTTAGTTTGTTTTCTTTTTTTTTAATCTTACGAATTCCAACCACTGTATTTTATGTATGTGAGGTTGCATAATTACCACTGAATTATCAGCACCCCAACAACGAAACTGTTTAACTTCTTCGAGAAACTTCGCTTTGGTGACTTCATTACAACAATCTTTACTGAAGAACTCATTCATGATGAATAACAAAGTGTGTGTTAAAAGTGCATTATAACTGGTCGTATTAAATATTATAGGTTGTACATTCAGTTGACGAGAACAGATGAAGAAATATAACGGATCCGTAACATGAATTATTATGAAGAATGCTTTGAAGAAATTTCGATAAGAACGCCCATCCAGTTTCCTCTATTACTTCCCAGCTTTTTTTTATATCCGTTCTGTTTTGCTTAAATTACCACTAGCTTATTTTCTGCGGAATCTATACTACACATTATTATTCCCTTGGGTTCCGAGTGGAACATAGGGCTTCAACAACACATCTCTACTTTATCCTATCTTCTGCTGTCCTCTTCATCTGGGCACAAAATTGCCCATAGACTTTCATCTCCTCTTCCAACTCACACGATCTCATACATGTCACCCTCGCACCAACAACTCACTCGTCACTTCTCATTTGGACTCCACTCGACGTTATGCCTAGCACAGGATATCATTCTACGGTCTTCTAAGATTATATCCAAGCTATCTCCATTTTCTCCTACATATCTGTTGAGCGATCTGCTTACTCTTCGTTGGTTTATTCCCAGCCAGAGTTTCTTGGTGCCAATCCTTTTTGGCCGGCCGACTGGACATTTCATCTTCAGTATGGAGCCAGCTGGAGAACGTGGCAGCTGTGACTGACTTCACATTTGTGTTGAAAATCCCAATATTCTTCTTTATACTGGCTGAGTGAGTGTAGAAGATTTCCACACTGGTTTCAGGATGATGAAGGTGTATCTTGCCTTTCCAATTCTGGCTGGCTGCCTTTGACATCTTCATCCACTCCAGCTTCCTATAGTTGAAAAAATGCTTACTCACTAGATAAGTGAAGGAAGTAACCTCAGTCAAATCTCTCCCACTGACGGTGATTAGTGCTGGTTGTTGTTGTTGTTGTTTCTGTTCGTTGGTTATCTTCATCATCTCCGTCTTCTTCATGTTCACCTGGATGGAGTCCCGTCTTTGCTGGCAGCCACCCTCTTCAGTCAGTTTGTTGCCAGTTTTCGTCTGCCTCTAATTCATCGAGTTTGTGTGACATTAGACATAAATCATCGACACGTGAAATCCAGATCTTCTAGAGTCTTCTCATCGGTCAGTGCAGTGTATTCCTGTCTTCTCACTCACACCCAATAACACAGTCTGACGCATAATTCACCAGTCCGCCATAATTAACAATATCACCGTCGGTTAAAATAGACAGATAGTCAGCTTGTCTTACTCATGTATGTACTTCGAACGCCTCACTTACTTTGCCGTTGTTGATCTCCTGACATGTGGCATTGTCATTTAGGTGTGATTGAATGAGGTTGATAAAGATGGTCGGGGGTGGGTGCCTTGCGCTGCGGGTTGGCCACTCCTCCGCACACCTCTTGAAATGCTCCCATATGACCGGGCGTCTTACATAGCCTCTCCTGAGGAAGTCCTACTCACTACCTTCACGTGGCGGAGGTGTTTCTCACCAAAGTGAGAGGGCGAAAGCGGATGTCCGGCGCTCTTCACCGGGTTGACTGTCCATTGGATGACAGTCTAGGGGAGATGGCTAAACCCTGATTCCAAACCTCCAACGACTGGCGTATGAAGCTCACTGGAGCTCACCGGCAGACGTATGGACAAAGGGTTTGTTGGATGTCCTGGATGTCTGGCCCCATTCAAAAAGGCGTATGAACCGAACTCCGGTCACCGGCTGCCAATGGATAGTGGACTCCCTACTCCACTCCTACTGCCTTGTAGGTCACACTTGGTTGTGTAAAGGCTAGAGCTGCACTCTCAAACAAAAGGCCGAGTGGTTCTGGGGACATCACTCGTACCAAATTCCCATGAAACTTCGTAAACTCTCTTCATCAGATCGCTTCGCCTGGGTAGCGATGATTTGAGAAGTTCATGAAGCCGGCTCATCCTTCCGTAGGAGATAGCCGAAGCAAAGTAAAAGTAAGTATAAAGAATTGGGTACTGTACGCCGTAGTGTTGGAGCAGTTTCCAAATTAATTCACGGTCGACGCTGTCTGTCGAAGGTCTTTTCGAAGTCGATGAAGTTAACGAACAGGTTTGACTGCCATTCTGTGCTTTGCTCGATGATGATGCGTAGAGTTGCGAATTGATCAGCATATGATTCGCCTTTCCTGAATGCAGCTGTTTCCAGTGCGGCTGGCGGAGTTCTGCATTCAGAGCATATTTCAGTCTGTCCAGGATGATGCGACTTATTATTCCGTCTGGCATGGAGAAGAGCATGATTCCGCTCCAGTTCTTGCAGTAGGTACCTTCCCTTCACTCCAAACGTTTTGCAACAGTGGTGTCAACACATCGTCCACGGTTTCTGTAGTCGTGCTTCAGGGGGAATTCTGTTTCATCCTCCTGATTTCTTGGAATTCATCAGCTTGATTGCTTTTGTTCGAGGATATATATATATATATTTCAGTAAATAAATAAGTAGGTGATACGTTAAAATGTCGTCCTATGGAAGTAAAAATAACGGTGACAAAAGCTATTAGGATCAAAAATGAAATTATACTCATTCAGATGATTACCTTTGTTTTCAATTCTATTATACGACGAATCGGCTGAACGCTGTAGATCTGAATTAGATAAATCTTGCTCACGTGAACTAAATATTATTGATAATTTTTTTTTAAAAAGACAAGCACATGGGAATAAGGACAATTAATTATGGTAGAAAGTAATTGAAAGATCAAATTAAAGTGTAATAATAATTACAAACCACTAACAATGATATTTTGCATTATCTCTATTCAATCCTTGTTTCTACGATCAGGAAAACATTTAAACTCTGATCTACCTCCTCTTGTCTAATTATACTATTAATAGTCAATCCTTTTAACACCGAATACATCTGTCTACTAACATTACAGTTTGGAATTACATCACTTATACTTTCTATTAATAACCTGATATCACTGTGACAGATGCACAGTTAAACATTTTGTAACTTGTATTTTGATAGTGTTCAAGTTGTGTGCACGGTTGACAAGAATACGCGAAATAAAACGAGTTCGTAATTTCCTGCCTGAAAATATGTTTGCTCAGCCTGCGCTGAAGATGAGAGAGAGAGAAGGTTGGCTGTGAGGCTAGCAACACCCCCTCCCCACGTAAAAAACAAAACACCACTGCTGAAAATTCAAACAACTAGAGCCCTATATCCCACTCAAAACGCAAGGAATACAAAAAAAAACTCCAACTTTTAGGCGTGTAAGAGCTGACGGTTAATTGTTACTTAAGGTGACCGTTGAGCATGGACACTGTTACCATTTTTGAAGACCTATCACTGAGAAAATGAGTCTATTTAACCTCAGCATCCCAGGTACTGAAGTGCTACCGGGAAAATCTTAGGAATTTTCAGCACGAATACAAGATGCAAAATTGATATTAGCCGTAAACTTGTGTTGTCCTTGGCGCAAGTATGATATTCAGTCACACCAACCAAAGAGCAAGTTTTAAGCGAAGAAATTTGTGCATTTCCACTTTACGACGGTTAAGAAATGGCAAGTGAAATTTAGACGATATAAAAACGTAAAAGGTATTTCATCTGAAATGGCTTACAATCAATCAATCTCCATGCGAATAACACCGCTGTATTTCTCTGCTCACACTCTCTTATCTACTTTCAACCAACTGAAAGCTAGAATACGTAAATTTATTATTTTCATTTCGTAGTCCCTCACTTTACTACATTATTTCAGCATGTGTCACACGCGTATCGCCTTCCTCGACGAGAAATATTAGCTGCCCGATCGACAGCTGCTACCATGACGTGGTGAGCAGGCTGTCTATTCGTCTCTAAGTTTTCGACATAGAACTTTGCACATATGTGCGGCAGTTCAAGTCGCCACACTCCATGCAACACACAAAGCAAGAGAAGACAGTAGGAGAAATGCATAATATAGACAGTAAACAGAGGTGTGAGACAAAGGTATAGTAATAACGAAGAACAAAACAGTTTAATTGGAAATCATAAGTCACAAGGAGTGGATACATCTGCTCCACTGAGAACGATTTTGAGCCTTGTCACCAATTGTTTCCAACCATTGGTTTTTACCGTCGCGGGGACCCCAACCAGGAAGTCTACACCTTCCTACGTGGCTTAGACTAACTGTTGTAGATTTCATTGACTGGTGCCATGTTTTCGTTTGACCACCGCTAGCTCTTTTCCAGCCTGACCCTATATCAGCTAACATTGCTCGTCGAGGAAGGCGATGACTAGGCATACGTAACACATGTCCTAACCATCTCAGTCGATGTAATTTCACAGTCTTGTCGGCTGATTTCCCCTCCTTACCTAGCACTCGACGCCTAACCTCAATATTGCTCACCTTATTATACCACTTCACGCGGGAGATAGAACGCAGACACCTATGATCAAAGACAGCTAATCTTTTCATGTCTTCCGCTCTCAGTGGCCAGGTCTCACAGCCATAAAGGAGGACGGAGCGGACTGTTGAGCAGTATACATGCCCTTTGGTCGATAATCGGATATCACGTCTACGCCAGAGACGGCGTAAACTGGCATATGCGAAACTAGCCCTCTGTATTCGTGCTGAGATCAACCCGTTGCAGCTGATGTTACTTCCCAAGTAAGTGAAGCGGTCAACGTGCTCTACCACTTCACTTCCTATTCCTAATCCAGGGGTCGGTGTAGTCCAATCCTGCAACATCATCTTACATTTTACAGGGGCGAATCGCATGCCAAACATACGAAGATTGCTGCTCAAGGTGTTCAGAAGACTCTGGTTTTGTCAGCGTCCTCGCCCAGAAGGACTATTTCGTCTGCTTATTCTAAGTCAACGAGATTATTCCCTGGTAGCAAGTCAATCCCTGAGTCTCTGAAGTGAGTTAGGGTTAAGTCCATTAGTACGTCTATGATGAAGTTGAATAGAAATGGGGATAATGGGCATCCTTGACGGACGCCACTAGTCGTCACCACTTCAGATGACAACTCGCCGTAAGCCCTCACCTGGCTGCATGAGTACGAGTAGAGTGCCTTAATCAGTGTAATGTATTTTCTCGGCATTCCCTTTACATCCAAGCATCGCCAGAGAACCTCTCGGTCGGCAGAATCGAATGCCGCCTTTAGGTCAAGAAATATAATGATTGTTGGACGCCTATGTTCTAGAATCTGTCGGAGGGTGAAGATATGATCAATACACCCTCTTCCTGGCCTAAAACCTGCCTGGTTTCCTCGTGTTTCTGCCTCCCGAGCACCACTTAGTCTACGCAGTATTATTGAGCCTAGGACTTTAGATACTATATTATTCAAGCTAATCCCTCTGTGATTATCACAAGAAGACTTGTCTCCCTTCTTGTATATCGGGATGATCAGTGACTGACACCAACCCGATGGGACTTCCTCTGATTCCCAGACGCTGCCTAGAACTTCAGTTAATGCAGACAGTAAACTGTCGCCACCGTACTTAAATACCTCTGGAGTCATTCCATCAGGTCCCGCTGCTTTGCCTTGCTTCAAATTAGTGACAGCTTTAGTAACCTATGTCTATATCCCATTCAGGGAGGTGTTGGATGTTCGGCAGGTTAAGTGTGGCTGTAGGCCAATTAAACTGCTCCTCATAGTGTTCTTTCCAGCGTTCCAGTCGTCTATCCTGGGAGCTAATTATGGTGCCATTTTTCTCCGAGATTGTTTCACTTATCATTTGCCTTTTGCCACATGTTTCCCTGATAAGCCTGAACAGTTGTCTGGTGTTGCCAATCGCCGATGCCTTTTCCATCTCTTTCGCTTTTGTCGCCCACCCCTGTTCATAGTAGTTGCGAAGGCTTTTTGTTAGTTTTCGTTTAAGTACCTTTCGCTCATCATCATTATCGGAGCTCGCTGGAATCAGTCTTCTTGCGTCAATCAGTTCGGATGAGGCGGTAGAGATCCAATGGCTTTTATTAACTTTAGGTTTTAGCTTATTAACAGCTTTCACAGCTGTTTCTACAGCTAACTGTATGTTGTGCCAGGCTATCTCGGGGAAAGTCCTGCTGTCGACCTCAGAAACTCGTTTCGCTATTTCTTCCTTAAATAGGGACTCAGTGTCTCGATCTAGTTGGGGACGTAACTGTTTCGCTGCCGTCAATTTCTTGTGTCCATTTAGTCGTAAGCATAAACGTGCGCGAACCAGAGCGTGATCAGAGTCTACGCACGTGTTCCAGAAGGAGCGACAGTCTTCTACTGACCCTCGCCAACGATACCCTATGGCTATGTGGTCTATCTGAGTCCAGTGTTGATTTGGTGATGGAGGTCGCCAGGTTACACAATGTCTCTCTTTGTGCCTAAAGTTAGTGCTGACTAGGAACAGATGATTATCTGAGCAAAACTGTAGAAGACGATCACCGTTGTCGGTTCGTCGGCAGGGAACTCCATACGTACCACCTACATACTTCTCAGTCTGGCACAACTTCCCTACTTGGGCATTGAAGTCGCCTGCTAAAACAACTATATCTGAACGTTTTGCTTTTTACAGCAAATTAGACAGTTTCAGGTAGAAGTCATCTTTTAATTCATCCGAACTGCAATCTGTTGGGGCGTAAGCGGAGACTACGAAAAGGCAACGACGGGTAGCGCCGTCTTTCCTTCTTTTAACGGACCCGTTCAGACGGACCGCACACATACGACTATCTACCGGGATCCAGTCAAAAAGTTATTCTTCTACCCTAACACTCAGTGCTATCCTTACACCTGCGAGTCCTTGTGAGCTAGCTGAGGGGTCTCCCAATACCCTTAAAGTGAATTTTGCAGATTCACCTTGTTGACCGGGTGAGGCCAAGTGAATGACCACACTCGGGTCTTGTTTACAAGTCTCCGAAACACAACATACATCCATGGCTCTAGATTCCAGAGTTCTTGCTAGTGTCGCCTGTTGTCCGATTTGGCAGAGGGCCCTGACGTTAAAAGCTCCTATATGAAGTTGGCGACGTGGCTTTAAAAGGCTATCTGGGGTGTTTCTATGGCTCTCATCGTTGTTTGTGGTCGCAGAGTCAAGTGAAGATGATTCACTAGCCTGAAGAATAGTGCTAACTGTAGTAGAGAAACAAGATGAGGAAGGTGATGTGAGTAAGGGAGAGTGATGCTCAGGTAGGCTTCGTGTGCATTTGGAAGTGTGTGGGCGGTTGTTACTTCCCGGCTGCCCACACCGTGGAAGTTGCTTGAGTCTTCGGGTACCTGAAATAGAGAAAAGGTTAGTTTTGCGTGACCACAGAGCCCAGGGAACAACTGCTTGAGACCGGTCACACGCGGCCTGCTATTGTTTGTTCTTTTTCGTTTGGTCATTGCGATATGCAAGCCCGACCCGCGACCGATAGCTGCTACCTTGAGGTGGTGGTATAAGCTATCGGTCGCGGGTCGGGCTTGCATATCGCAATGACCAAACGAAAAAGAACAAACAATAGCAGGCCGCGTGTGACCGGTCTCAAGCAGTTGTTCCCTGGGCTCTGTGGTCACGCAAAACTAACCTTTTCTCTATTTCAGGTACCCGAAGACTCAAGCAACTTCCACGGTGTGGGCAGCCGGGAAGTAACAACCGCCCACACACTTCCAAATGCACACGAAGCCTACCTGAGCATCACTCTCCCTTACTCACATCACCTTCCTCATCTTGTTTCTCTACTACAGTTAGCACTATTCTTCAGGCTAGTGAATCATCTTCACTTGACTCTGCGACCACAAACAACGATGAGAGCCATAGAAACACCCCAGATAGCCTTTTAAAGCCACGTCGCCAACTTCATATAGGAGCTTTTAACGTCAGGGCCCTCTGCCAAATCGGACAACAGGCGACACTAGCAAGAACTCTGGAATCTAGAGCCATGGATGTATGTTGTGTTTCGGAGACTTGTAAACAAGACCCGAGTGTGGTCATTCACTTGGCCTCACCCGGTCAACAAGGTGAATCTGCAAAATTCACTTTAAGGGTATTGGGAGACCCCTCAGCTAGCTCACAAGGACTCGCAGGTGTAAGGATAGCACTGAGTGTTAGGGTAGAAGAATAACTTTTTGACTGGATCCCGGTAGATAGTCGTATGTGTGCGGCCCGTCTGAACGGGTCCGTTAAAAGAAGGAAAGACGGCGCTACCCGTCGTTGCCTTTTCGTAGTCTCCGCTTACGCCCCAACAGATTGCAGTTCGGATGAATTAAAAGATGACTTCTACCTGAAACTGTCTAATTTGCTGCAAAAAGCAAAACGTTCAGATATAGTTGTTTTAGCAGGCGACTTCAATGCCCAAGTAGGGAAGTTGTGCCAGACTGAGAAGTATGTAGGTGGTACGTATGGAGTTCCCTGCCGACGAACCGACAACGGTGATCGTCTTCTACAGTTTTGCTCAGATAATCATCTGTTCCTAGTCAGCACTAACTTTAGGCACAAAGAGAGACATTGTGTAACCTGGCGACCTCCATCACCAAATCAACACTGGACTCAGATAGACCACATAGCCATAGGGTATCGTTGGCGAGGGTCAGTAGAAGACTGTCGCTCCTTCTGGAACACGTGCGTAGACTCTGATCACGCTCTGGTTCGCGCACGTTTATGCTTACGACTAAATGGACACAAGAAATTGACGGCAGCGAAACAGTTACGTCCCCAACTAGATCGAGACACTGAGTCCCTATTTAAGGAAGAAATAGCGAAACGAGTTTCTGAGGTCGACAGCAGGACTTTCCCCGAGGTAGCCTGGCACAACATACAGTTAGCTGTAGAAACAGCTGTGAAAGCTGTTAATAAGCTAAAACCTAAAGTTAATAAAAGCCATTGGATCTCTACCGCCTCATCCGAACTGATTGACGCAAGAAGACTGATTCCAGCGAGCTCCGATAATGATGATGAGCGAAAGGTACTTAAACGAAAACTAACAAAAAGCCTTCGCAACTACCATGAACAGGGGTGGGCGACAAAAGCGAAAGAGATGGAAAAGGCATCGGCGATTGGCAACACCAGACAACTGTTCAGGCTTATCAGGGAAACATGTGGCAAAAGGCAAATGATAAGTGAAACAATCTCGGAGAAAAATGGCACCATAATTAGCTCCCAGGATAGACGACTGGAACGCTGGAAAGAACACTATGAGGAGCAGTTTAATTGGCCTACAGCCACACTTAACCTGCCGAACATCCAACACCTCCCTGAATGGGATATAGACATAGGTTACTAAAGCTGTCACTAATTTGAAGCAAGGCAAAGCAGCGGGACCTGATGGAATGACTCCAGAGGTATTTAAGTACGGTGGCGACAGTTTACTGTCTGCATTAACTGAAGTTCTAGGCAGCGTCTGGGAATCAGAGGAAGTCCCATCGGGTTGGTGTCAGTCACTGATCATCCCGATATACAAGAAGGGAGACAAGTCTTCTTGTGATAATCACAGAGGGATTAGCTTGAATAATATAGTATCTAAAGTCCTAGGCTCAATAATACTGCGTAGACTAAGTGGTGCTCGGGAGGCAGAAACACGAGGAAACCAGGCAGGTTTTAGGCCAGGAAGAGGGTGTATTGATCATATCTTCACCCTCCGACAGATTCTAGAACATAGGCGTCCAACAATCATTATATTTCTTGACCTAAAGGCGGCATTCGATTCTGCCGACCGAGAGGTTCTCTGGCGATGCTTGGATGTAAAGGGAATGCCGAGAAAATACATTACACTGATTAAGGCACTCTACTCGTACTCATGCAGCCAGGTGAGGGCTTACGGCGAGTTGTCATCTGAAGTGGTGACGACTAGTGGCGTCCGTCAAGGATGCCCATTATCCCCATTTCTATTCAACTTCATCATAGACGTACTAATGGACTTAACCCTAACTCACTTCAGAGACTCAGGGATTGACTTGCTACCAGGGAATAATCTCGTTGACTTAGAATAAGCAGACGAAATAGTCCTTCTGGGCGAGGACGCTGACAAAACCAGAGTCTTCTGAACACCTTGAGCAGCAATCTTCGTATGTTTGGCATGCGATTCGCCCCTGTAAAATGTAAGATGATGTTGCAGGATTGGACTACACCGACCCCTGGATTAGGAATAGGAAGTGAAGTGGTAGAGCACGTTGACCGCTTCACTTACTTGGGAAGTAACATCAGCTGCAACGGGTTGATCTCAGCACGAATACAGAGGGCTAGTTTCGCATATGCCAGTTTACGCCGTCTCTGGCGTAGACGTGATATCCGATTATCGACCAAAGGGCATGTATACTGCTCAACAGTCCGCTCCGTCCTCCTTTATGGCTGTGAGACCTGGCCACTGAGAGCGGAAGACATGAAAAGATTAGCTGTCTTTGATCATAGGTGTCTGCGTTCTATCTCCCGCGTGAAGTGGTATAATAAGGTGAGCAATATTGAGGTTAGGCGTCGAGTGCTAGGTAAGGAGGGGAAATCAGCCGACAAGACTGTGAAATTACATCGACTGAGATGGTTAGGACATGTGTTACGTATGCCTAGTCATCGCCTTCCTCGACGAGCAATGTTAGCTGATATAGGGTCAGGCTGGAAAAGAGCTAGCGGTGGTCAAACGAAAACATGGCACCAGTCAATGAAATCTACAACAGTTAGTCTAAGCCACGTAGGAAGGTGTAGACTTCCTGGTTGGGGTCGCCGCGACGGTAAAAACCAATGGTTGGAAACAATTGGTGACAAGGCTCAAAATCGTTCTCAGTGGAGCAGATGTATCCACTCCTTGTGACTTATGATTTCCAATTAAACTGTTTTGTTCTTCGTTATTACTATACCTTTGTCTCACACCTCTGTTTACTGTCTATATTATGCATTTCTCCTACTGTCTTCTCTTGCTTTGTGTACAACATGGAGTGTGGCGACTTGAACTGCCGCACATATGTGCAAAGTTCTATGTCAAAAACAGAGAGACAGACAGACATTGTTAGCTGACAAAGGATTGATTAGGTTAGAAAAGATCTAATGGTGGTCAAACCAGGACATGGCTTCATCAGGCAAGAAAATCCACAACGGTTAGTTTAAGCCAATCACGTAGAGAGGTGTAGATGGCCTAGTTGGTGTCCTCGGGATAGTAAAAACCAACGACGACTGGAGACAGTTGGTGATATGGCTTGTTCAAAATCATCGCACCTAATGACGGCATAGATGCATTCACTCTTTGTGATTCATCATATCTAATAAAACTCTAATGTTCTTACATATTTCTATTCTTTTTACCTCAAACTTCTGTTTATTATCTCTCTTTTGAACCTCTCTTTACTGTCTTCTCTTGCTTTGTGTGTTGCATGGAGTGTGGCAACTGGAACTGCTGCACATCTGTGCGAAGTTCTCCGTTGAAACCAGTCACGGTATTTCTGATGTAACAAGTATGATGAACTTTCTCCTTGCCACTGATTTGAACAGCCATCTTCAGCAGCATTCCCTCTAATCTCTTCAGTATATATATACGCTTACTATAGCCATTTTTCATCTAAGAAAAGAGTTACTCCACAACATAACAATTGACATGGTTGCTGAATAAGGTACAGAAACAATAAATAGTTTATTTTTATTACAAAAAATCAAAAACGAATCAAACAAATAAAGTTACTTTGCATAACACAAAATCTTACCCAAAACGAGTGGACCCATAGGACTTTTCAGAGTTCCCAGTGGACAAGTCCGACTGTGGGTTACAAGTCCAATATGACTCAAAACTTCGAATCCCTTGAGTCTTGACTGTTTGTAACTATAAGAGACAAAATACCATTTTTTTTTAAAATCAGGAATTACTGATGTGGAGATTAGCTGTTTGTAAACCAGCAAAAAATAGAATCAACAGCTGAAGCTTAGCAGGTGCATACGTCAGTTACTATCTATCAGGTAGTTATTTTGCACACAAACTGTCACAGTTACAGTTTGACGACAAATAATGGTGACTGACACAGCCTGCATTTTCAGAGGAAACAATTTGGCTTTGAAATGAAAAGAGATGAAGACAATGCCTGTTTATTTTTATTTCGAGCTTTAAGCTCTAGGTATGCAGTTTCATTAGCAGTAGTGTTTACTCTCACACAGGGTAGGGTAGCTAGCCTCACACACAACTTTCCTACTCTACCGGTCTTACTACAGGTTAATCGGAGTTTAGGACTGCATTAGTGAGGGGGGGGGGTGGAACCCAGATCACGCGGTAAGGTTGGCGAGTGTTCAATCAATGAAGCAACGACGCACTGGTGGAGATATCGGGCTACGAACGCGGGGTTTCTCGCAATCGAAACTCATGAATTCTAACATGTAACAAAAGCAATAAGGATAGGATAATATCTTGTCGGTGGTAAGAGGTTAAATTTTGAAAAATTCATTGATTATCTCATTTTCACAAAACAAAAATCTGTATCCCCAACCATTATGCAGCACACACACACACAGACGCGAAGAGTAAATCAAATGTATGTGTTGTATAGGGAGTATTGAAAACATACAACATATCCCCGTTACAAACTAAAACGATCACATACCTGCAGCTCTATATCAATCCAAAAAAACGAATAACAATAACACACCTATAAACTACTCACCTTAGTTGCTACAGTGTCAACACCTTTTGACAACGAATCCAAAATATTGCTATCTTTAACCTTTTTTGTAGAAAACAAAGGTCAACAAAACAACGAACAATCGACAACATGTATTATTCAACAACATAATTATAATCGACAACTATACGAGAGAAAAAAACGAATAACACAATTATACAAAGAATCTATTTGCTTATCGCCATGCATATACTGACGCGGGTCCAAATCTTATACGGAGAGATCAGTTCTTTCAAGGCAGACTTTATACCGGATACATAGTTTATTGGCTTATGTAGCAGAATTTTAGTCAGTGGGTGCCGGGTTGGAATCCCACCTTAACCTGGGTGACTGGGTAGTATTATCTGCCCCCAACAGAATGTGTGGCTTATAAGCCTAGAAAAACCTCGCCTGGTTTACTAACTAGTTCATTAATTTTCTAGCCCAGGAAAGGAAGGAAGGAAGGAAGGTTGGACAAAGAGCTAATTAGTTTAGACAATCGACTTTTCTATAAATAATATGATACTGCGGTTCGGACAGCAAAGTAGTATCCCTAATGAGCAGGATAATAATTCAAGTGAAGCATAAAGTGAATAGTAGACAAGTTGGATACTGAGAGGCATAAGAGAAGCCGACACAAATTCTAAAGAATCTACAATTTTTATCTTCATAATAGTTATTCGTCCTGAATGGTAAATATATTTACAAAAGTGCATATCACATGTAAATAGAACACCTTCCTCTACTTAAGTTTGTATCCAATAAGCGTATCGCTGAATCCGTTTGTCTATGACATTTTATGATATACGGCATATCCAGATAACCGATTACACCTATTCACCACTACTAACTAGTAACTGAAAGACGTGGCAATTGATACATAAAAAACAGGATGCGTAGGTTTTGCAAGATTAATGTATATGCGCCTCTCAGCAGCAGTCACTAATTATCATAGAAATAAGTATTAATATGAAGTCTTAATAGAAAGAGTATTACACTGAAGCTTAGGTAGGATTGTCTGACGCATCTAAAAATTGGGAAGAGAATGCGTATTCTGGGATCGACTGTTAGCTACAACAGTCAGTATCAAAGGGTTTCCTACAAGAAGCTAGAGATACGACAAGCTGAAGAGATCTAAATCCTATCCACAAAAAAAGAAACAATGGGAAACAGCACTTTCCCACGTGTACACTGATTTGTTGATCTCTGATCTACATTCAAAATTTACACCAAAAGACAACGCCTTGTACATTGATACATCAAAGTCATTATCAAATCTTGACTGAATACACACCGAAGTGCTTTGTCTATTACCTCCAACCGATCTAACTTAGATGTGATTCAACGAGTAGACAATATCAAGAAGAAATCACCTTGTAATACTGATCTCCCAATGTTCTTTTTAAATTAACACAACACGTCTAACATTTAAAGGGAAAATAAAACCCAGAAATTTCACCACTACATCGAACAGACAACGAAAATAAAAAATAATTTGATACAGTAGACGATTGCAAGCATGAATATATCTTAGAATTTAAAAAGCATATACAAATATACACATTCATACCAACTAGTTTAACTTACTTTCTCGTGAACAGAATGTGTTATTTCTTTGGTTTTTTGAGTAGCCTGAGAAGCTAATTCACTTGTACGCCTAGCAGCTGCGGAAGCCACCTGACTGAACATAGCCCAACCCTATACAACATTTGAAACAAATGAAACCAAAATTTTTTTTCACGACAATGAACAACTAACTAACTAACTAGCTAAAACTACACTTTAACAAATCACGACTATGCAGACCTACTGGTAATCTCAGAAACACAATAATACCAACATATGGCTTTATTGTAAAAAATATTTTAGAGAAAGTGTAGAATTCTTAGTATAAGGTACAATGATGTATCTAATGTCCTCGTACAGTCAGAGAGGAAATAATTAACAGAACTTTATGATATTTACAACAATAGTAATAAATGAATGAACATAAAATTGACAGGAACAATGATGACAGTACATTAATGTTTAGAAGAACGTAAAGTACCGTTAATTTACTGTTTCGAAGTAAGTAATTTCGTACCTAACACTTTTTCTATTCACAAAAAAAATGGAATGCATAACAAACAATGGTATCGTTGAGCTTTTGAAATTTATTCTTCTTCTACCACCTGATGCGAACGTGCAAAGGGATGTAGTTGAGAATAAAGGGAGTACTCAGAGTCCGATAAAATTACATTCATCGATTCCAAACGAGTTCAACAACGGTATCATCCAGTAAGCTTGGACGCAAACTACTCACTCTACCAACAGCTGTTTCGGTGTCTCGTTCGAAATGTAAAAAAGTTTTTTTCTAAGCATTCCAAGAACGAACAAAGAGTGATAAGGAGAAACAGGTGAAATGAATGCTAAAAAATTGTAAAATTAGATGCTGAGTTATACCTAAGCATCTTCACTTCTTTATGTAGAATGTTAGACAAAGCATTCTTCTAGAAATCACTAGTATGCAGGACGACCCAGAACAATCAGCGGAAAGACTTAACATAATATAATTAACATTCGACACACTTTCTACTTGTGTATCCCTTATATTAAGAGAACTAACAGATTCGACGCATACATTAATCGAGCTGCACAATAATGACTTATAACGCATACTGAAACCAACGTACATAGGATATGTTTCAGCTCTTCTTCAAATCCATCAAAACACCATTCAGCCTACTTGAGTCTAAACAAAAAGTCAGTATCGATAACCCTCATATTAAGAAGTGTGGCTCATAACCTGCACCAGCTAATTGATTTCCAACTAACATCTTGACCAACGTGAGAATATAATACCGTTTGAGTGTCCTAACGAACAAGCAACTATCGCATTACTGAATCACCTCTTTATTTTAATAATTTGAAGTTTGACAAGCAAAGTATTTCCTTACTTAGCTTAGATCAACAGTTGAATGTCTCACACGTTGATGCTGCTTTTCAGTATACACCGCCGTTATCTCTATTCCAAATCAGTCGTAATCTGGTCGACTTGGTGTCCGTTCGCTAACTTCTGAAAACTAACAAATCATTAGGAACACTTGGAATGTTGCTAGCTACACCATCACCTATGAATGAGAAAACTAACCTTCCTATGCAGCTGAACGGATCAATGTAGGTGGATCCAACTGATCGACAAGTGATTGTCCTAATCACACACAGCATTCGCTATAACTTCGCTAACAAGTAAACGATTTAGAAGCAGAACACAGAAAAACAAACGGGTGGTGACGTGGCCCAAGTGCTCTAGTGGATAAGACACTGACGTTTCAAACAATGGGCACTGGGTTCCAGTCCCAGTAAGAACACCATCAGTCAATAGAAAATGCAGGCACATCCCTGCCACCGGGTCCCAAACAGGACGAAATACACATTCTGGATTCCACTGGAAGTCACCACCTACCAAATTACTTCAAGGTGATGAAGTAGTAAACCCCTAATGAACGGAATATGCTTCATCTACGACCAACTGGCAAAAGAGATGTCGAAGTGTTAGACTGGATGACGACAGAATGGCGCGATCATGATCAAGACTTTATACAAATCAACAAGAAAAACTGGTCACTTTAAAATCGTTAATGACCTCCACTACAAATGCTTACAGAATTCTCATTTATTTTTGGTACGTCAGTGGTTCAGTAACAGAATACCCGCCGACCATGCACGCGGTCCGGGATTCGATTTCAGCCAACGCACTCCTAAGCCTCACTCTTAACCGATATAGTAAGATCGATAAAGGTGGAAGGTTGAGACTGAGGCTGGCGACCACCACCCCACCCCCCTTGTGAACAGAAACGCCACTGCTACCTAAACTTCAAAACCGAAGCTTGAAGCTCTATGTTCCCCCCTCGGAGGAGTACAAAAAAGAATAAAATTTAGGAAGAAATTTCTTTTGGAGTGTGGTCCAATAAGCCCAGACATGTTGTTTTTAGCAAACAATCTATTCTTAATGAGAACGATTTCAAATCCACAAGCTAGACAAAAATTACATCACAAGACAAATAAATCGGTTCATTACTAACCTGAGCATTCAATACCCAAAAGGTTCTAGCATCATTTACATTTGGCTTGAAAAACTATGTAAGATGAGAAAACTTCCACTTCTATCTGATGTCACCCCCCATTTCCTACACACACTATTGTATAATATTACACTTTTCGCCTAGGCTAATCCCCTCTTAAATGTGTAAGTCAAAAATTCCTGCCAATATTACAACAGTACCCAATAATTTCCAATAACTATAACTGTTCATTGTTCTTATCACCATAAACTGCAATTAGGTGAGTATAAAAGAGAACTTACTGATTGCCATGTGGAGGCATCATTACTACTCTCAGGTACCAGTGAATAGTGCCTAGCCGAAGAACTATCGTAGCCCATGCTATTCGTCGACCTAGAACTGAAATCGAGAAGCAGAAGAAGAAACAATAAGAAATTGAAGTTAACAACGAGAATTTATATGGTCACTTTTCTCACTATGCTTTGTGTTTGCATTGTATACATAACAAGTACTGAATACATTGAAACAATAAGTTTAAGAAATGTCCCATATAATTGGAATTGTGACCAGTAAATTTACTGCTGCAATCGTAAAAAGGGGTTTAGGAATAATAATGATTTAGTTCACTTATATATATATATATATATATATATATATACACAACAATGGGGTAAAGCTGAACAAACGTAATAACAATGACAATTTATACACAGCATAAGACGGAGGTTATGAAAATAACCAACAACAACAACAGTAGCAACATCCAGCGCCAATCACCATCAACGAGAGGGATTTGAAAGAGGTTACTTCATTCACTTATCTAGGGAGCATTGTCTCAACTACAGGAGGAACGGACGAGGATGTCAAATCGAGAATCGGGAAGGCGAGAAACACATTCATCAACCTGAAACCAATCTGGAAATCTTCGTCACTCAGCCTGCATCAACAACAAAATCCGGATTTTCAATACAAACGTCAAGTTAGTCAGTTCTTCTATACGAATCAGAAACTTGGCGGGTCACAAAGAATATTTCCAACAGCTGTCTTCATTCTATACTCAAGATCAGATGGCCGGAAAGAATCACCAACAAGAAACTATGGGAACAAACAAAACAAGAACCAATCGCCCAACAAATATGAAGGAGAAAGTGGGGATGGATTGGACACTCGCTGAGGAGGCCGCTGGGTGACATCGCGCACCAGGGCAGTGCTCGAGTGGAACCCGAAAGGGAAGCGGCGAGTGGGACGTCCAAGGGTGACATGGAGGAGGTTGTGTGAAGAGTTGAAACAGTATGGACTAACATGGATGCAGGTGAAAAGTACAGCAGAAGACAGAAGCAAGTGGAGACGTGTAGTTGAAGCCCAATGTTCCACCAGGAACCCAAGGGAACAATAATAATAATAATAAGATCCATAAAAGTTCCAGACTGGACTTAACCAGCAGACATTATGTTAACAAAGAGGGGAATGAAAAGTGTGAAAACAATGGGATGATGATGATGATTATGACATCAAGTAGATGTACATAAGGGATAAAAAAAAGTGTGTACAGGATAATTTTCGCAGATACGAATGCATCTACGTCTCCTCTATTGGTTCTGAATGATAACTCCTGAAATCTCCAGTCGCCTAATTTTTTCCGTTCTGTACCCCGACACAACTAGAAAACTCCTATTGCACTGCATAGCTTAAACAATATGACTTAGATTCATGAACAGGTATAATACATTTTTTAAACCACCAGCAAACACCTTTTATTTCCTTCCTCTAATTCAGATAACCTTTAAACGTCGAGGTATTGTGATGATTAAAGACCAAGTAACACTATTATGCCCGATCGTTTCACTAAGTGAACATCCTACGACTAGCTGATTAATTTATAACCTTTGTGTGTACGCAATGATTTGACTAAATGCGGCAGTAACAAAGAAGATGAACTAACAGTGATTTCGTCCAGCTGAAACAATGCTTAAGTCATACTGGTAAGTAATAAACAGAATTTTGTTGCATGATTAAAGTTCACGCCTTCTAGAATCAAGAGATAATCAAAACACAGTTGCATAAGAGATAATCAACAGACTTATTTTGATTTCCAAAAATAACACCACATAGCATGATGCAATTGTGAGCAAAATAACAAGTATAGTTTAGGTAAATACTTATGATTTTTTTTCAGTAATTCCTTATCAAGTTTTACAATTGCATACTAAAATCACTCACCACAGACACTCGACGCCATTATGGTTAATAGAAGTAAACCTTGAGCAAATGCATTCTTTGCGATCCTTTGCTTTCCCAGTGGAACATCGCACTTCAAGCCTAAGTAGCGACAATGTTTTTACGGAGCAGGGCTGCTGGCCTCATGCCCAATCTTTTCTCTTCACTGAGCTCACTGCCAGAAAAGAGATGTTTAGGAGTACATCGGCCAAGAACCGAGCCCGAATCACATGCAGCCCTGATGTCAACAAACGGAATCTACCAGTGGTATGTGTAAGCTGCCCACACTTTACTATCAGAGAGACGGTTGCACTTACATGTCGTTTGACTTCCCTTTGCTGATATCAGGGCCAATCAACTAATTATGGTTCTTACTCACTGTCTGTCTACAAGTGTCTACATAAACTATAGAGCCATTTATTGTAGACTCTGTGTGTATAGAAGCAGACAGAGAACAAATATCGTCTTACAACAATTAGATAATGAAGTATTTAGCTGAATATGAGATTACAACACTATATGATGGTGATAATAATTGTGATGCATAAAAATAAAGATAATATTTACAGCTGTTCAGGAAAGAAAACTAATCTAATTACATCTAAATGGAAAGTGAGGGCCAGAAGAAGAATGGGATTAGACAAACTTTTTGAATACATAGATTAGCTTAATAAACTTTGGGAGAGGCTGACTAACCTAGAGAACTGATTTCTCTGACCATTTTGATGCTCTGTACCTGCTAGACAGGCGATCACCAAGCTCTTGATAGACTTTTCTATTCTTTTTTCCTAATCATGTTGGTCAATGGCTCAAACAAATTGAGTGTAAGCGCAATATCGCTTGAAATTAAGTCACGCGTAGATAAAGGCTATCCCGGTCCAGAACAAACAAGAAGCCGGTCACTGTTTCTACGGTATTATTAATAAACAAATCAATGATTATATATACAACAAACCTTAACGGTTTTAAGAGTACAAAACACAATGCTTAACAGAAAGCAAGGTACGGCTATCAGAGCGGAATAACGTTAAAGCCAAAATTACGAACTAGCCGGATCAGACACGACCGTTCAGGTAAGCAGTCAGTAGAAGAATGAACCCAAGTAAGAGATAGACAGAGCATAGGCACAAAGATAGAATTTAATTGGCTACTTAACCAATCAATAAATAAGATAAACTCGACAGAATAGTACAAAATAAGACATGGGTCAGCAAAATAACAGTTGACAAAAAATGCTCTGATTGGGTCATGAGTTCAACTGTCTGACTAAACAGATCGAAGTAAACACACACACACAGTTCATTAAACAAGGTGGGATAGACACGTTAGGCATGGATAATTGGGTTGCAACAACGTTAGGCTGATCCGGAACAGGTTGACTTGATTCAAGGATGGGAATTGAATCGATCTTACATTGAGCAAATAAACCTTTTTGGGCATACCTCTCGTGAAATTCTAAGGTTGATCTGCTGATTTCAGTAAATGAATGCATTCAATTACAGGAGTGTTTTTTTATTCGAATACAATGGACAAGCATTTTTAAAAGTGTAGTACAATTTTTTCAACTTTGTCATATAGCCAGTCAGCTGTTAAATGACGTTGATAAAGACTTGGGTACTGCACAGCGTAGTTTTAGAGCAGTTTCCAAATTAATCACAGTGGACGCTGTCTGTCAAAGGCCTTCTCAAAGTCGATGAAGCTGAGGTACAGGTTTGACTGCCACTCTGTGCTTTGCTTGATGATGATGCGTAGAGTTGCGAATTAATCAGCAAATGATTTGCCTTTCGTGAATCCAGCTTGTTCCGGCGGAGCGGGCGGAGTTCTGTATTCAATGCATCTTTTATTTTCTCCAGGATGATGCGACTTAGTACTTTACTTGGCGTGGACAAGAGCATTATTCCACGCTAGTTAGTTCTTGCAAAGTGAGGCGTAAGTCTCCCTTCTTTAGCAGCTTGACAAGGTAGTCAACCTTTCTTCCAATCGGTAGGCACCTTTCTTCTCATCCCAACATTTCGCAATAATGGCGTGAGCACATCTGCCGCACGCTCTGAGTCCGTTTTCAGTGCTTCGGGGTGAGGAAATTCCCTCTGGGTCTGCTGACTTTCCGAACTTCAGTATCTTAATCGCATTCAAGATTTCTGTTTTGTTGGAGGATTGGTACCCACTGCAGATAGTTTTGTGCGTGCTGTTGGTTGTATTTCTGGGCAATTTGCAGGTGATAGTCGATCCAAGAATCCTTTAAAGTGATCAGCGCATTGTTTTATTTGTTTCTCCTCTTTCATAATCACGTTCCCTTGAACATCTTTTATTGGTTTCATCATCTGGGTTAATCTCTTCCCGGATAGAGACGTGGTTATCTGATACAGTGTCTTGAGTTCTCTTTTGCCTGCGGTCTGTTCTGCTTCAGTTGCCAATGTGTCGTAGAATTGTTTTTTGTCTTTCCTAGAACTCTTCTTCACTTCTCTATTCAGTGCAGTGTACATTGAACTCAGCTTCTTCTTCTGTTGCCCATCTTTGCATTGAGTCATCTTCTCTTTCACCATCCTCCTCTCTTCTAATAGCTTCCAGGTAGGTGTCCGTTGACAGCCATTCCTTGTCGTATCTCTTCTTTTTTCCTAGGACAGTTGTACATGTTTCCCTGAACATCACATTCATAGAGTTAGTTCCAATGTTCCTCCACGCAAGTTTCCTCGGTTATGCCACGTAGTGTCTCCAACTCTGCTGTGATTTGATCTGTAGTGAATCTATCCTTCGTAGTTTTGTCCTTCAGTTTCTGAATGTTGAACTTGAATTGTGACCTGTTTCCATTTGTTTTCAGGGATTTCAGCTTCACCTTGAAGGTTCCTTGTACTAGATGATTGTGTGAGCCCACATCTGCTCCCCTTATCGACCTTGTGTCCAGCAGACTACGTCTCCACTTCTTTCAGCAGCGTTGACATGAAATCGATCTCGTTTGTGGCAAGCGAAATCCATGTTGCTTTGTTTATATCCTTGTGCTTGTACATGCTACCTCCGATCACAAGATCATTGGAAGCACAGAAGTCTGTGAATAATCCCCCCTTCCCATTCATTTCTCAGAGTGAGATCCTCTCGACCTATGATGAGTTCTCTTCCTGTATTATCTGCTCCCAGTTTGGCAATCATATCGCCAATGAGGATTTTGATGTCACCCTTTGGGATGTTGTCCATCACTGTTTGTAGTAGTCTGTAAAAGTCTTCTTTCTTCTCTTATTCTGCGTTGTTTGTAGGTGTGTAGCATTGGTTCCTACTGCATTAGGGATCTGGCTGCCATTGGTGACATCATTATAGCCACTCCCTCAGTGTGTTAGTGGTTATCGTCTGGGTGACCAGTTTTCACAATCCACTTCCATTCCATTCCACATCTTCGCATTTCTTTGGCTACGTGGGCAGCCTTCCCAGTCTCGTAAATTGTACGGACATTCCACATCCTCAATCTTATTCTTACTCTAATCGAAAGAAGACAAATCGGCTGACTGGCTTGCAGTAGGCTTTTACTAGCCCACGTCATTTCGCCTCTCCGATTTCATATTTATATTTCTTGTATTTCTAATATTTTTATTGTGCGTTCAATTTTCTGTGGCAGTTCGATTTGATTTTGTGGGATATTTATTGACCCTTAATTCCAGAATTTATGGTGCATAAAATCAGTAGGAATAAAACAACACACCAATTCACTGAAACACTGTAGAACACAGATGAAAAATGGTTTTGGCACCCGTGTGGCTACAGAAATTTGTGCACAAATTTCAAAAGAAACATTTCGCTACACGCAAATATTACGAGCAATATGATCTCTTTGTATTCAAATGTGGAAAACAGCTGTGATGCTATATTTTGCAAGAGTGCAGAGCATGAATTCAGGCCCCCAATGTCAACATCCTTGCCAAGAAATGTAATTATTTCGTGACTGATGATGAGACGTATTTAGACTCACAATGGAATTTACACTGATAAAATAAGCATTACAGACATGATAGAGAAACGGTGTCAAGCATAGGGATTGTATGTGCTCCTGATTTGAAACTGCTTAGCTTCCCCAGCAATAAGCATGTCCAAACTACGATTACTAAATTGTCCGCAGTCCTCCACATAGTCATATCCCGTGAAAAGCACGACTACATCTGACCCTGTCAAACTATCATATCCACAAAAGGTCCACGCGAATCAGTAGGAAAAAAGGGTAGCCGAATGATACTTACTTAGCCCAATCTGGAATTTCTTTAGAAGAACTACGCTCTTCTGATAAACTTGTGTCTTTTAACCAGGATTCTAAATCTGAATGGCAATTGGGCATTCTGTTAGGTCCAGAATTATATGCAGAAGTCTGGTGGTCTTTACGAAAGTTATTTGAGCTTGATTTATCTGAAGATAAAGATGGCAGATCACTCGTTGTTTTCACGTGGCTTATACTGGTACGCGTATTACAGACACTAGAAGTTTCTTCACTCCACGTTCTACCGGACGCTTCAGTAGCTATCTGAAAAATAAAGTGAGAAATTAAATGAACACCCACAAGCATATCGCGATCCCACGCTTAGTCATTGTATAAATATAAAAGATGCTTCTAGAATCACGCCTCGAAAGTAATAAATATTATGTAATGCGATCGTGACAACGTACTGGTAACATATTTAGTAGCATACATTGAAAACTCGTGAATTAGGACGTTAGATTACAAAAGCTATCTGTCCTGCTAACAAGAAGGCAATATAGGAGTATCGAGGGGAGTATTTTTCGAAAAAAGACCACGAGTTGGCCAATACACCCATTTCAGATAGTTTGTTTCTTTGGCATACAAACGAAGTCTTATCAGAACCCTGATTTTTCGTGCTAGACAAATCCGCACAATCGATTCTCTTAGCAATGAAATAAGGAAAGTAGAAAACTTATTATAAGAGGAGGGATACCCAGAAAAATTTCTAAAGCCTTCATTATGAGAGCAGATAGGGAGAAATGCTTACAAACTGTGCAGAGGAAACGTACACATACAACTCTACAGTTCAATGGAAACACAAACACTGAATTTACTGGCATCGAAACTCGGAAAAGTGATAAGTAAAAAAGTTTTTGCCACACCACTATGTTCAAAATTCAGGTGAAGGATCAGCTACCAAGTCTGACTACCCTCATGTGCAAATGAACTGTCGTCAAGATTTGACAGAATAGTTCTAAAATATTTGGGCACCGAGTGAGAAGTAGACATTTGTGAAAAATTATATTTGTAAAATCTCAGCGATTCGATTAATTTCCCTGAAGAAGTTCGGACCAGATTGCCGAACGAAACGTTGGAATTACTCATTTCAATCTCGCTGAGATTTTACAAATATATTTTTTTACAAATGTCTACCCTAATGTGCATTTATAAAATGAACTGTTCTTGTGGAGGCAGTTATATAAGTAGAACGACTGTGCAGGCCCACAGTTACACTTTTCGGCATCGTCTAACCTGGTCACGTAGAGGAGTCGTAAAGTCGATCAGGAGTTCTATATTAGCACATCTTCCGAATAAGGATCACAGGATTGATAAAAATCCCACCTTTACATTTCTATACACGGTTCCACTTCAATTCCCTAAGTCTGTACGCCCTAGGTGGGACAGTCGGCATAGCAAATTTTCAGCCAAATCCTTGTATTCAGAAAAAGTTTGTTCAGTCCCTCTTCCCGCACAGCCTGCAATCCTGAACTAGAATAGTTATCCCAATGACACCAGATAGCTGTAGATATTATTGTTATTTTTATTTTTACTGTTAATTTCATTATCAATATCACACAGGGCTATAATTGCACAGCGTAACCTTAGTTTTACAATTTATTACTATTATTCTAGCTACATTCTTTTTGCGTCGGTGGTTCAGTCGTAGAATGCTCACCAACCATGCACCTGGTCCGGGGTACGACTCCCGGCCGGAGTGCACCTTCACCTCCCCTAGTCGACTGCAAACCCAACAAAGAGGGAAGGTTGGGTCTGGAGCCGGCAACCGCACCCCGTAAAAAATAGACACCACAGCTAATGAAACTTCAAAGTTCAAGCTTGAAGCCCTATTTTCCACTCGAAAAGCAGAAGTAATAAAAATATAAAAAGCATTTTCTTTGATTATATTTGATTCTGATTGGACACTAGTAACTAGTGTGACGTGTCTAGTCTTTTCTTTCGTGCAGACTGAATTCTATCACAGTCAGGTATTTGCAATGTGGCCACTATTCTAGGTAGCTCGACATCACGGTGCACATTGATTTGATGATAGTTGGAGGCCCGAATAGCTCAGCGGTAACGTCTCTGACTGGGTGACGCGGGTTCGAATCTCCGAGGGGACAAGAGTTCCTTTAACGTTGCAGATACGCCTTGCTGATGAGTGCCAACTAGCACGAAACCTAGGTCCAAGGCTTCCTGCCGATTGCCTCCAACTATCAAATATTATATTTGATTCTATTGATCAACATTGTTTCAAATGTCTATGATTGATATTTTTCCATGTAATTGTGAAGCCTGATGGAAATTTACCGAAAATATGTATTTGCCTGCTTAAATCGTATCGTAAAATTTTTTTTATATGATTTAGGAGGTTAAATATTTGCTTTAATCTTTCACCAGTGATAATGATCAAAGTAACTTATTGGCGACTCACACTCTTGGAATCGATTATTAGCACAAGTATACACTAAATTTTACTCGTGCTAACACTTTTTTATGAATAATGGGCTGGAGCAAATACAGACAATAATTTCTTGACTTTTAAAAGGCGACATCTGACAAAAAATTAATTTCAACAATTGTGCATCTATATCCTAAAAACACTCCAATTTCCTCTCCGAAAAAATGTTACACATACCTTATCTCTTAACAGAGCGGCAGCTCTGCTATTATACTTTTCTTGAAGAGTCCACTGAGGTCTATAGTCTGGTTGTGAAGCGAAGAACTCCTTAGCATGTTTGTTGCCACCGACTTTCATTTTCTCTAACTCCAGTTCTTTCCATTTATCCATGTTAATTGAACGAACAAAACTAATATGATGATACACAAAGTAAAAAGCAAAACAGAATTAGACACAAGGAAATGCATAAAAAAGGTAACTGAAACATGATTCCAGCAAAACCTTCGACATTATAATACCACACTCAGTCGAATTATTAGTACACCATTTACTACTGAATGAATTACTAGCCATAAAGATTAGTTAAAGAAAACAGAAAGGTTAACAAGGTATTTTGGAATGCTATTTTAGTGAATACGATCGTCTCATCCTTCAATATGCCTTGTTGCTTTGTCAAATCAAAAGCGATTCTTGGTAAAATATACGTGATGTAAGATATTGCTTGCAACACACTCAAATGAGTATCAAACCGTTTAAATGGAAACCGTCATACCACTTTGAGGAACTGAACAACGGGTACCACTTTTGACATCCTTGAAACTGCTATATGTAGTGATCCCGCAATCCAATTAAAAGCACGTGTAGAAACATAATATATGTGTCGGACGACGAAAAAATGCTTATGCCAAAAAAAAGGCAAAGCGATTTTTTCAATTGGAAGCCTCGTATAAAATAAACACAACTCAAGAGAAATGATAAATGCAGACATTAAGTAAAGTTTATATATGCTAATAAAGAAAGGTGAAAATATAAATTGAGTGAGTCTTTAAGATACTGGAAACGGAAACATGAATCGGCCAACCTATGCTGTCGACTTTTAAGAACTACATCGTGATTTGGCCCATCATTAGCCAATGGGTCCCAGGTTTGAATCCCTCCACTCTGGCTTCAGCCTAGGCAACTGGGTAGCATCAGAAGCCATCGCATTAAAGTATGGGTCATAGTCCAATACCGCGTCAGTGGGTTCTGAACAATCATATCCTACACAATCAGTCTGCGTAGCTGAAAAAATACTGAGACAGTGAATGGTGACTCATTAAAACCAGCAGTTTTTGTATAGTTGCACTGCATGGAAAAACAAAAATAGACATTCGCAGTACGCATGAAGCACTTTCTACAAAGTGCTAAACAAATTCTCAAATGATATAACCGAATACCGATTATCCGGTATGACTGCGCATTATTCTACTACGCGTGACTGCCAAAAACGACGTCCGGAGTCTGATACGGTTTACAACGACACATGGGTTTTCACCTTACTTTCACCTGAATCCCAATAACGACTTTCTTCTTTGCTTTGAAGTATCCTAGAGACTTTAGATTACTTGTATTACTTCAACTTTTATTCTTTTACCTTCAGGTGCAGACATCAAGTGGATACATAGATCACTGCAAATTGATTAGGTCCCACGCTGATAGACTTTTTTGAATTATACTTCGTTCAGTTAATAAGACTAATCAATCATCTGATACTAAAGGACTAATGCCTATTACATTTTTGTTCTATTCTGGTTATCACCACAGTCCGCTAATAAATATGACCAACCAATAATTCAGGAGAATATGTTCTAGACAGAAATTAGAGGAAGAATTTCTGATTCTCGAAAAGATGTTGGACAAGAACGGTTACCCCAAAGATATGATGGCTCTAATGACAAACAAATGACAGTAGGAAAAAGGCGTCTTCATTCAACTTGACTTCAAAGGTGAAAATATTGCAGCAATAGTCAACAGAAGATTACGTACGTCACTAGCCACAGCCTATCCTGCAGCTAGGTCGGCTTCCGTTTATCAAACAACATGCTACTTGGTGGCATCAAAAATGGACAGATGCCCTTATGGCGTCAACTCCAATTGTGTATACAAATTTACATGTATCTGTGGGAGCAGTTACATTGGGAGGATAGAAAGAATGGCATACATTCGATTTTCTCAACATGTATCAAAAACAATATATCTCAAGGGAACTAATGCTTTCAACAGTACCATTGCTAGGCATCTCCTTGACACGGCTCATCAGGTGGACATCGCAAGATCGTTCAAAATTATCAATAGGCAAAAGAGTTTGCCTAAAGTTTGCCGAAGCAATCCCCATCAAGCGCCTCAAACCCGATTTATGTGTTCACAAAGAAGCAGTTATCAGTCTTTCCTCACCCTGGTAACTGGATGTTTTCATCCTCTCTTTCATTTGATTACGTTACGCCGAAAAATTCCATTCTGTATGATTATCATTGTTGTTTGGGATTAAGTGATTATTGTTATTATTACCATTGTATGCATATATTGCTTTTTCGTTTAAAAGTGAACTCTCTGCGCATGTTAAAATTGTACATAAACATAATAATTCCTTCGGGCTGGAAGCAGTTGATGAGAAGCCAACGAAACAAATGATGATACCATTTTATTTTGCGCGAACTGCTGCTCTTGCTTTATTCACACTAAGTTTGCGAGATCTCCTTAATTATGTTTATCTGGTTTTCAGAGCGGAACTTTACACAGAAGTGAAGCAGTTTAAGTTACCACACACCAAATAACACACAAATTTAAAGGGAGAAAATCAAAAGAACTACAATGAACTGAAATGTAAGGGAGGAAAAATAAGTATGTGAAGTGTGGAGTCTGTAACAATACGATTGGATATTTTTTGTTAGATGTTAAAATTAGAAATATTGTACACAACTTTTGTTCAAAACAAATCATTGTAAAATGTACATAACTTCAGAGTATACTCTAAAATACAGTGTGCTTCTCGACTCTTCTTCTCACTGGTCCTTACTGTCTAACTGCTTTACTACTAACAGCGTTGTATACTATGGATTTTGAAGGTATGTCATCCTTATCCAAAGACTATTCTACAACCGGTGCACAGCTTCTACTAGTAGACACGACTCCAGCAGTGAACACTTGTGGAATACATTAATAATTTGTAGCAGTGGACTTTAACTGTATAACCAAGTAACCAATTAATTTATATAACTCATTACTGGATTTTTTATAATATACTGGTACACTATCATTTCATTAACTTGGACTTTTACTCAAATATTTTTCCTTTTACCAAGGTCGCTAGGAAGTCTCCTAAAGGAGAACGATGAGGATTCAGCTGGTCTGGGAGGTAATGAATCAGTTTATCTAGTCACTTAAGCAGATAAGAAGATGAGTAGAAGTAAGATGAGTAAGCTACTGAACCAACATTTACGATGCAGATCTATTCAAGTACAAAGTGAACGCTGCAGTCCAATGACGACTTTATCCGGACCTATGACACGAAGCTAGAGTCGATTTTCTAAACACTGATGATAAACAGTAATACACTAACAATATGAAAATCATAAACCTTGAAAGATCAACAATACTAAAATCTACTTATCACAAGAAATTCTTACCTCAAATGAACACCTAATCCCCGGTGTTTCCCAGAACACTCTAAGCATATCCATATACCGTAGGTTACGCTAGCCCATTGAGGATTAGGGGACCCGCATTCAAAGCACAGCTACAAATAAAGACAAACTGTATTGGCGTAACTAGAACATTAGTTTTCAAAACTGTACGTACTATAAAGAGGAAGTGTAAGAGAAATGATTCAATTAATTTCGAACTCCGTGGTATTTCTGTACATTAAGTATGAGATTATAAGACTTTCAACTACGAGTAGTATTTTCTCAGCCTGCAAACATTTCTAGACGAAAGCTTTACAAGTCAACCACTAAATGAATTAACACAAGCTGTAAAACATCCAGTAGGATAAATTTCAAGAGAATAGAAATCAATGTCACACACTGTGTCAACTAAAACATCTCCTGAATATGAAAGTTCGACAGAGTTGGAGTTTTCATTTCATTGTTTCCTGGGAAGTAGATATGTCTCAGTCGTGGAGCATTGCTACCTTCAAAATGTTTTGTCGCATTCCGCTTGAAGATATTCAGATGTCATGTAAGAATAGTTAGGAGGCTACTCGAATTATAATTTGGAATTTTGTTCCAAAAAATAAACTAAAATTACAGTACTGGATTGTTCAACAGCGACCTGAGAGGTAAACACCTGGCCTTAATCTATTTTGATGCCGTGCATCACTCATCTTACTGCAATGCGAAACCTCTTCTGAGTGGCTGTTGATTTGTTGTGCAGTGTTCTTAAAGTAAACACCTAGGCTTTCAAGAACACTTATTAACACATGCATAAAAGTGAATACAAGCGTGCTCTCAGTTGTGAATGTATCACTTATTATGTCTACAGAAACTTCTAGAATTACAAACCTCGGTATTTCAAAACCGGTTAGGATGATTAGTATACTCTAACAGCACTGGGAAGAAAAACAACGCTCTTTATGAAATACCACATAATAGACTAGAGATGTTGCCATCATCCACCTCTAGAACAGGCATTCAAGTAGTTTTCCCCTGATAACGCATATTTCCTGTTTCACTACGAATCATTTCTTTTATTCTAATTAAGTGAGAACTGAGACAACTTATATTAATCTTACGTTATGATTTGCACGAATTATTTGTTGATTAGTCGAGCATACTATTAAGCCAAGTGTAAGAATTCCTATATAAGTAGCAACGGCTAAGCAGTGTATCAGAGGATAACTTCTGTCCAGAAGTTTTAATAATTCATACTGAAGTCAATGCACCAATTCACACTCGAACACTACTAACCAACATATGTTTAACAGCTTGATTTCCAAAATTATAAACGTAAAAAACACTTGAGATAGTTGTAATGACACAGAATATCTTACGTGGTTAGCGTTAACTTTCTTAACATCCATCAAAACCCTCCGGGTCCTCGGACTAGCCATCTTAAAAAATACTGAAACGTCGAGCACACTCCAAACGAGCGCGCTGTAAGGTGCAAAGAAAAACAAATTTGGGCCACTTACGCCAGCAAAAACTGTATGAATCAAGAGAATTCAAAGTTCGTCACCTCCATGCTAATTTCTTTCTGTAGCGAGTTTTACGGTACGCATAATAATGATCTTCATGACCATTTAGAAGGCAGACAACATTATCGCAACTGCTGTTAAACCTAGTCAAGTATTCAGGCTTGACATTTTAGCGCTTGAGTTAATATTCTACGTAGTGGTTGCAGGCTATCAATCGAGATCTGTTTTGTGCCCAATCTCATAAACAATGAATCGAACAAAACTGAGTATTTGAGATCAGAGGGGCCAGTGATTGAAGACAAGTTTGAGATGTGATGAAATTAACCAAATAAATACCAAGTAGTGTCCATTATATGTACATAAATACAAATCATAATCCAACATAACGTGAGTAATATGTGAACCTGTGCAAAACCAAAAAGTGAACTTGGAAAAAAATATCAGCAGGACTCAATTTGGAATGAAAAAAGAACATTCCTCTTGCAGCGGTAAGTAATTCCCCGGAATAATTTGCCACAGCATTCATCACTGAACATTGGATGCTGATACTCACCGTTTTAGTCGATTTGTTTGTGTGAAGGCTTCCGGTCAAGCATCCACGCCACTTGGTACGCCATCGTATCATGTTCGTTCGTTCGTGCATGATCCCTAGCTAAATAAGCAATCATCTCGCACTTCGTATATTTGTTGGTATAATGTTATCTTGCGACAGTACATGACCATATCGGTTTTGTAATTTAGCTCTTCATGCTGACTTCAGCGTGACTCAAGGCTTGGCAAAAACGCGGGACAGCATTAATAAGCGGACTATGGAATGAAGATAGCAGCCCCTTCTGCAGCATATTCTGCGTTACTACTCTAATGAACACACTTTGACCTTCTTGAACTACTGTCCGCCTCAAAATAGCTCAGATTTCACGTCAAATAGACGTGCTTATAAGGCAGTGTTAAACAATTTTCAGCGCCACAGGGTGCGCATGATAATTGTGAAATAGTCCCACATCATGAAGTAAAAGTTTATCCGAACGAAGAATATTCTTTTCAATAATTTCTCTTCAGGTTCTTACAATTATAAAGTATAATATTTGTTGTCGTTACAATAATGGCCAGTTATGCGCCGGACTCATTTTTTACGTAAAATATGGAGTTTCAAAATAAATAGCTATATTTGCATGATAAACGTGCTAGGCTTAAAATCGATTACAAAATATTGTAAAATGGGAGAAAATGGTGGTGATTAGTCATAATAGATTTGTAGAGTGTGGGAGTGGAAAATTGACAAGTCAGTTCGAGGTTATAAAAGGTGTCAGGTAAGTGGCTAGTACAAAGTGGTATGTATTGAGGAATAGATAGTAATACTGCAACGAGAGGTTCATAATGAGATAACGAATGTGTGAAACGAAACAGGTGGGGGCATATATTAAGAAAGGAGATAATATCACTAATAATAAGTCAGGATAGTATAAATGGAAAATTCAATGGTGCTGAATGTTTGCATGAAGGGTATACATTATGGCGAATAATAATTGTGATAATGAGCAAAGAAAGTAAGAAGAAACCAGGAGAGTTAAGGGGAAGAAGCCCTCTCGGTGTAAGAAGAATCATTAATTCAGGTTTTGCCACGGCAGGTACAGTGTCTGGATGTTTTCTTTTTGGATACAAAGTTCCGGTTTAGTTAGTCTTATTTCAACAGCTTCAGTCATGTGTAGGAGACATACGCAAACTGTATGTGACAACAACTTCGGAATTCGATATATAACCCTGAAAGATGTGTTGACTTCTATGCTATGTCCAGTATAGACCAAGTGTGACAGGATCGAGCTTTTTATGCATTTAATTTCCCCCTTGCTGAACCAAGCCGGTAAATGTTCTAGAACCCGTAGACGAACCTACCTAATCTTGTGCTCTATATAACTTGAACCACAGGAACATTTGAAATGACACATGAATGAATAAGAGAAAAGGTTAGGTAAGATATCTTTGAGTTGTTGGGAGACCATTGGATAGACACAGACGTGCAGAGTAGAAAGTTTTCTTTATCTTTCTTTAAACGGTGCTGTAGAATCTCTGCAGGATTATCTCCTCTGAATTGTCGACGTAAAAATAGAGGCTCTTTCTCCATCGTTGCCAGTTATGTTTACGACTATTACAAACTGTGTTGCCCCCTTACAAGTAGTTTGGAGTATGCCTCTCGGGAAAAAAGATACCCTTGGGCCACTAGTACTTACACCATGTGATGGAGCTGCATGTGCCCTACTTAACTTTTGTTGCACTCACTGAATACTTAACAGAAAGACTTGAATTGCGCCATCATATATTATATTTATAGAGTAAGCCATCTGTAGAATCCTGTTTCCTACAAACCTTCGGCGCAACTGCTGGAGGGTTCCATATTGATGGACAGCCTGTTGGAAAGTGTGATTATGGAACATGTGAATAAAGCAGCAACCTATAAGAGGCTCAACATATTTTAGAGCGGACTGTGCCCAGACTACCGGAACGCTGGCATCTTGTAACAACTCTACAGTGTACTCTGTGTGTTTCTCATACATAGTGGCGGTTTCCGGCTCTCTGCATCATAAGGCCTTTGGAGGCTGACGGTTTCGACGTTCGCGAATTGTACGGAGTATGCTAACGCAAGATCTTATACCAACAACTTCTAAAGCACTCGTTTCTCGTGTACCAAATACAAAGCAAAAGACCAGATTTAGTCGTCCAAAGTACGAGATATATTTCGGGACCAAATCGTGAACCGCGTTGAGTGCTTAACTAGCCAGTGATCGTGCACGCACATGACACGACGGAGTACCAAATGGCAAGGATGCTTGACCGGAAGCCTTCAGCTAAAGAAGTAGACTTAAACAGTGAGGGTCAGCATCCAATGTCCAGTGATGATTGCTGTGGTTAATAATTTTGGGGAATTATTTACTACTACAGGCCTTTCCTTGGAAGGTTTCCGGAAAGGGAAATAGCAGCCGACCTCTATTTTGGATTGAAGATTTCGGGGTAGTGGATTTTGTATGAAGGTGAGAGTAGAATATCATCCAATGAGGTGCAAAAGGGAGCTTTTCTCTGTCAACTAGTATTCATAGTTTTCACAAATAACTCCTGAAAATGTAGTCCATGCAGCGCTGCTCTAAGAATACGATGTAAAGCTGTGGTGGCCAAGGTGAAACTGTACGGGAAAAAACGGACGTCCATACATGGAATCTTGCACTATCACATATTAAAGGAGAGATAAACGTCACTTGAAACCGTTTTTTCTAGCGTTTCCAGCTTAAGTGGAAGATGACTTAATGTAGTTGATATTCATTGACGTCACTACACTGGTAGAAACTATTGGTTCTCTACAAAATAAATTAACATCCCTAGTCTTTGATTGGACACGAGTAACTACTGTGATGTGTCTAGTCCATTCTTTGGTGCGGACGAGTGCCAACTAGCACGAAACCTAGGTCCAAGGCTTCCTTTCGATTGACTCCAACCATCTAATATCCTCAAATCCCTATAATAATAATAATTTATATTTTCATATAAACATAAATTTACATGAAAATGCATGCCATTTTTACAGGCACGATCAATTATGATATAATGCCAAATAGTAGATTGTCTACAAGTTAATGTTTGAACAGCTAAATATTTGATATATATATATATATAAATACACTCTTTGTCTGACCCATGTCGTATGATTATTGAATTAAACAGCAGTCCTCCAGGTTGCGCAGGAAAATCGACTTCGTTTCGTTTTCAACCCGTAGTTGTAGGCATACGATAATCAACCAATGTTGAGGTAAGTACAACGTTAACAAGGGATAGTAAGCTGTTTTAGAAAAGTAAAGGTCCTAAGGTGAATCATTGAAGTGTAATGAAACAGGTAAATGCAATTTATCATTAATATATGCATTCATAAAGGAAATACAATGGGAGACTATAATCCCTAGGCTGACAAAGTTCATTTGCAATGTATAATGCTACCTATATAAGTCTTACTATCATGATGTCCACTTTTGGTTTAATACAATTATCCACAAGCCGGTTGTTTTAATTTCATACCTTTTTGTGTTTGGTGCACAACCGTACCCTATAGAGAATAGGAATAGAATAAGTCGAATCAAATTCATAAAGAGCTATAAAATGTTAGGTTTAATGGAATATAATGAGCAAGTGAAGACGTTATTAGAAAATGTATGAGATGAGACATTGTTAAGTGATATTCGAAGATACGACAAAGGAAAGCATGTTAATTTATAAGATGCTCCATAAATCTGTGCAGAGCCCACGTGGTCGCATCTCAGCAATAGGCTGACCGAATGGTATATGTTTATAGGTAGAAGCATGATCTGTCTAGGCGATCATCGATCGAGACATTCACACATGCTTGACACATACATATTAGACATTGCACGTTAAGGTACCAGTTCATGTGATCTTTCTCGACTTTGCGAAAGCATTCGACACAGTTCACCATGGTCCACTCCTTCACAAAATAAGCAAGGTGGGTGTTTCTGGAGCACTTCTCCCATGGCTGAAAATTACTTAGGTGAGAGAGAATTCTGCAACAAAGTCAACCGCATCCGATCATCCTGGCACACCTCGGCATCAGGGTTTCCTCAGGGTTCTGTCTTAGGGCCGTTGATGTTTTTAATTTTTATAAACGACCTGCCCTGTCAACTGAATTGCTCTGCGCTTCTTTACGCTGAAGACGTAAAGATTTGGAGAGCAATAAACTCATCGGAAGACTCAGACAGATTGCAGGCTGACCTGCAAGCTCTGGGGGACTGGGCTCTGGCTAACGGAATGCCTTTCAACCTAAAGAAGTGCAAAGTAGTGCAAATTCATTCCGGCAGGTCACAGAGTGTAAATTACACCCTTGGTGGCCAGAACTTGAGTTATGTGCCATCAGAGCGCGATCTAGGTCTTATTCTGACAGAAAAGCTAGACACCAGTGGAAACTACACGAGGGATGT